AGAAAAAGTACAATGACTTACATCTAAGCCTGAGCGGGTTGGGTCGGGATTTGAACCCAAAACCACTGAGACAGTGACTCGTTTGCCATCTCTGTCGTTGGCGGCTGTCTCAGCGAGCAACATATCTGGGGAAATAATGGATGGATGGATGGATGGATGGATGGATGGATGGATGGATGGATGGATGGATGGATGGATGGATGGATGGATGGATGGGTTAAGACAGAATGAGAGAGAGTCAAAAAGAAAGAGAGATAAAAGAGGAAATGAGATTGAGAGAGGAAAAAGAATGAGATAGAAAAAGAGATTGAAAGAGAGAGAGGGAGAAAGGGATTGAGAAGTACAGAGAGAAACTGAGTGAAAGAGAGAGACTGAGAGAGAGAGAGAGAGAGAGAGAGAGAGAGAGAGAGAGAGAGAGAGAGAGAGAGAGAGAGAGAGAGAGAGAGAGAGAGAGAGAGCACTCTAAATAAATTCCATGCAGCCATTGATGTAGAATGTAACAGGATAATTTTTTTTAGTGGCCACAGCATTCTGAATAACTGCAGATTATTCTAGGCCAACACCGAAAAGTTATCAAGCTTCCGTTCAGTTGTAGACCTTTTCATGTACTGATCTGTGGGCAATATATTCAACGAAAACTGTGCTTTGGGCATATCAAATGCCATGATTCATTTGAGAAACATGTTCTGGGAGAAACAGGAGAAGGCAAGAGAGAAAGGGGGTGACCTAATAGAAATGGGAACATGACATAGAAGCTTGGCTTGGGGCCAAAACGACTCAGGCAGACAGAATGCCAAAAAACGAAGTGGTTTATTACCGAGAGGTCTGAGAAACTGTGTCCAACTACTAGAAAAAGCTAAGAAGAAAAGAAGAATCTATGCTTTTGATCTAAATTGTGTCCATGGGAGCAATTTAGGTGCTGGGGCGTTTTCATTTACCTTTGTATGGATGGGACAAAATGTTAAATCAAGAGAGATTTAAACAAAGCCTCACTATATTTCCAGTTATTACGATTAACAAACTGTACAAGTTGCGAGTAAATCTTCCAAGACATCATTTATAAACCAATAGAAAACAAGGCAGTGAACCAGTGTGGGAGAACACGAGTGACCAATAATACGCATCCACACAGCAGTGAAGAGATAAAAAATAAAACTGCAGTTTTTATTAAATTTATAGGCTTGTCAGTTGAGTTGTTGTTCTTTAACTCATCTGGTAAGTGGGCGGCTGCTCTGGTGTGATTTGCCTCTTCTTTCCTATCAAACATCTGTAGTCTTTATCTCCCTTCCTTCTTTTTTTGTAACACCTCTATTCTTTAGCACTTTTTTGACCTTATTGTGTTGCAAGTGCTGTAAAACGCTTACTAAAACAAAGAGATACAAAATAAAACTGCAGTTTTTATGAAATTAATAGGCTTGTCAGTTGAGTTGTTGTTCTTTGACTCATCTGGTAAACGTTTCATCTATCACAGCAAATGCCATCAGGAGTAAGTGGATACATTTTTTAATACGTCCCTCTCCTCATTCACTAGATTAATATGTACTACTAGTGTGTGACCTAATGTGATTATCTCTGTGTGTTTGTAGCCTCGTTGCTAATGTGAGAGCGCATGAGTGTCAGTCGCTATTTTTAGATGTTTTCCTTGTGTGTTCAACAACCTACAAACGGACTCAAGTTTCCGTAACTTTTACTGTCTTCTCCATTCTCCAGTCATTTGCTGGTGGCTTTCTAATCCCCCCCC